GGAACACCTAGAAAACATCAAGTCAATCATTCGCCGTGGCAAGCTGAAGGGAAAGAAGCTCATCTTCCGGTATAGTACGGATGACGCAATCGGAGAGTGGGTATGAGACGCAGAGGAGAGCATATCCTCTCGCGATGACGTCTTCACTTAGCATGCCCTCGCTCTGATCAACGGTGCCGCTGACAAGGCGAGCAGGGCAGGTCATGCAAACCCCTAACCTGCAATCATGGGGCACTTCAATTCCCTCTTCCAGTGCTCGCCCTAGTATCGTTTCATCCCCACTCACTTCTAATGTCCGCTGCTCTTCCCCGTGCTCGAGTGTGACTTTGTATGCTCTGCAACACTTGGCAAATTGATGAGGCCGCCGAAGGAATCCGCTTAGGGTTGACACCGGAGGCGGATTAGGGTTTGAGAAGCAGGTGGGGGTTTGTTTGATGTTGATGGGAATGAAGGGAGGGGAGACGGGGAAGGGAGTGAGGCTTGCAGCCATGGCTGTTGATTTGGGGGAGAAGTGGATAAGGAAATGAGAGTGAAATAAATTGTATGTCTAGAAGAAGAGGATTGATAAAATAAATAAATAATTTCTTGAAATTATATTAACTTACAATTTAGTGATTATGAGAAAATAGTAATTCATCATAATTTGATTATCAAAAGCTTATAAGATTCAATTTCTTTCTATTAATGAATAGCAATATATATATTTATCATTGTATGAAGATTATATTTAGTAAGACTTCAAATCTGCTTCACCCATTATTCACTCTCTGGAGTTTATGTCGAGTAAAAAATAAAACTTTTTTATTGAAAAATTTCACTTTGTATGTTATGGTGATCATAACTAGCCGAATAATTATAATATTTATTTTCTTGGAAAAATGCTTGAAAATCTCTTTCAAATAAAAGCAATCATTTTATATTTTTAGATTGTTTATTGAAGCTCGTAGCAATTCAAATTGGTTTGAACAAAGTTGGAACACAACTTCGAATAATGTTTCAAGTTAGATTCTAACATATTTTTGTGAGGCTTGAAAAAATGTTTGAAAAACGGTTGGAATAATGTTCTAACATGATAAGAGTAAGTTATATGATGATATATGCACAAAAAGATATGTGGTCATAAAAGTTATAAATTAGTAGCTTACATTATCGTGATGATATATGCACAAAAAGATATGTTGTCATAAAAGTTATAAATTAGTAGCTTACATTATCGTACATCTTAACATTTTTTTTGGGGCAACAAATATTTTAGGGACATACATCGATTGTACTTGGAACATCTCGGGTGTGAGCTTGTCACCATGATTTATGACTGGCAGTTTAAGCTCGCATCAATTAAAGGCATTATGCTTATAGCGTCAGAGATCCATACGTCCCCACTTAAGGAGATTCACACTTCGACTTTGTCTTTAAAGAGCCTAAACACTCGAAACTCCCTTTCTGACATCATGATGTTGAGTCATCTATTTTGAGAGCATTTGCATTAGAGCCACTCGTGCCATAATGCTATGCCCATCTTAAAATGGGATATAATTAGCATAAATAGACAAAGTGTGGCCTCCCATTCTTCTTGAAAAAAAATATAGTAGATTGAGTTGGCAATCATTACTCAGGCACAATCAACACCAAATCAATGAGGCGCTATGGTGCCATTGACTAATGCCACAACCTCGCCTCTCTGGTCAATAGTCATATGCAGATTGCAATGTAGCGTTGTCGTGCTACATAGATATAACACCACGGTGCTGCCTCAAAATATAAGTATTATTTAAGCCTTATTGTGGCCTAAGCTAGAGAGCCTTTTTATTGTAGTGAGAAGGAGATAAAGGGAGAGAGTTTGTGTGAGATGAAATAATGAGAAAGTTATGATGGAATGATTATGATTTAATGTTCTTAATCTTTTAGTGTGTCAAAGGCTGACTTCATGGAAAGCTCTTCGCTTCTCTCCAAGATTTCTAATTTTATTTAGTGCTCGTAAGTTTTACATAGAGCATTAAGCTTAGGCTTATGTGTTTAAAGAATACCGCTAAGTCAAACTATGTTCGTATATCTTCTCTGAGTTTTCTAAGTGACCCAGAGAAAATCCCCTCCCTCAATACCTTGGAATTGTTGGATGTGGTGTGAATATTTTATTTTCTCTATTATCCCAACTTTTTGAGCTAGATATATTCATTTAATTAAGTCCATTTGTTATGGAATGGTTCAAGCCTATACAGTGCAAACTTGAATTCCTCAATCATTTGATATCCTCATTGGAATTTAATGATTATGTTTTAATTGAACATATTTAAGTCTATAATCTATGTACTATAATATCGTACAACATTTATAGACTTGACATCTTTTACCTAACCTAGGTAAGACTTGCCATTGAATAGGTTAGGTTTATAAAACATGTTAAAAAAAATAAATAAATAAATAAAATTATTGCTTTTGCACTCGTTATATATATGGCACTGCAGTTGCAATGTCAGGACACCTTTTTCTATTTTAAACCTTAGAGCTTAGCACCTCGATCCTCCCTATTTTGCATCACAATGTTAACCATTTAAGTTTATCATAATGTTTTCATACTTTTTTGTCATGTTAGCATAAAGATATTGAATTGACATAATCAAATCCTCATGTGTCTTCTAGTTTACATAAATATATATATGGCACTTAAATTCTATGTGAGTTTAGTATTGACATAATCAAATCCTCACGTGTCTTCTAGTTTACATAAATATATATATATATGGCACTTAAATTCTATGTGAGTTTAGTTCTTTGGTACTACAAATTGATGTCATGCCATTATACATCTTTTATTTATGTCATTCCATTGAGTTAGTATTGCATTACAGTAGCATGACATTAAATCATATATCATCATGTGTTAGGAATCATTATATTTTTAAGAGCATAGTTTGAATATTTAGCTTTGCATTACATACATATAATATCATTCCACGTTCACTCTATGAAAGTAAACTTTGTGTATATATGTGAGTTAACATATCATTTGCATATAGGTCTAAAATAAGAGAATCACACTTCGATGTTGTCTTTAAAGGGCCTAGACACTGGTTTTACAGTGCCTTGGCACTGCCTTACAACACCTCCACACTACGTTCTAGATTATGACAGTCATTTTCATAAGGCAATAATGTCTCGAAGCTTTCTCTCTGGCTTCATGATGTTGAACTAGCTATTTTGAGAGCATATGCATTAGAGTCATTAGTACCACAACGATATGTCCATCTTTAAATGGGATCTACTTAGTAGAAATAGACAAAGAGTGGTCGCCAAATTTTCTTGGAAAAAATATGGTAGATTGAGCGGACAATCATTACTTAGGCAAAATCAACACTAAATCAATGACGACGCTATGGTGCCACTGATCAATTCCTCAAACTTGTCTCTCTAGTCAATAGACATATTTAGATTGCAGTGTAGCATTGTCGCGCTACATAGATGTTGCACCACAGTGATGCCCCAAAATATGAGTGGCATTTAAGTCTTTTCTTGGGCTAATATAGGGAGTTTTTTTTTTTTTGTACTTAGAAAGATATATTGGGAGTGAGTTAGTGAGAGACCAAAGAATGATAAATCTATGATGGAATGCTTAGAATATAATGTTATTGATCCTGTTAGTCAGTCAAAAACCAACTTCAACCCAATGTATGTATGCTCTTCGCTTCTCTCAAAACTTTCTAAACTTTTTTAGTGCCCTTAAGTTTTCTAGAGTATTAAGCTTAGGCTTTTGTGTTCAAAGGAGACCGCTAAGTCTAACTACATTCCTATATCCTCTTTAAATTTCCTCAGTGGCCCAGAGAAAATCCTCTCCCTTAATTCCTTGGCACTGTTTGATGTGGTGCGAATGTGTTATTTTCTCTATTAACCCAACTCAATGAGCTAGATATATTCATTTGATTAAGTCCATTTGTTACATAATGGTTCAAGTTTATCCATGAATGGCGTAAACTTTGATTCCTCAATCATTTGATGTCTTTATTGGAATTTAATGTTTATGATATGACGAAATCATATTTAAGTCTATAAATAATGTACTATAATATAATACAACGTTTATAGACTTACACTATTTATCTATCTTTATTGAAAGATAGAAAGCTATGAAACCTTGTTGGAATTTGCTTGTCGGAGAGAGATGAGATATTTCAGTTAGGGCAAGTAATGCGTTAAAATTTATGCCAAGCTCTTGTTATGGTTGAAGGTTGAGTGGTTAGGTTAAATTAAGAGAGAATTTTTTAAGGGATTTTCTTTTAATAAATTAGTTGAGTTTTTATTTTAAGGTAAAAAATAAAGATTTACATAATTTTAATCCAAGTCCCATTAATTGAATACGTTAACTTGGATTAAATAAACAAAATAATTAAATTTGTTAGAGAGAGGGAAGATAGCTAAAGCATGTTCCATGATTAGTTTATTTGAATTGATAAAATCAATTCAATTAAATACGAAAAGGAATTATTTAGATCCATTACTTCAATTGATTTACTTACCTGGATTAATTAATTTAGATCAACAAAACTAATTTATGTAAGATAGAGAGAGAAGGACTGTTAACCATGTTCCAAATATGATTTTACTTGAATTCGTTAAAGATATTCAATTAAATTGAGTAGGAGGGAAATTCAAGGAATTTATTTTATTTTAAATAGATGAGTTATTTCAAAATTTGAACTTTAAAATGATATGTATTTGGAAATAATTTGAAAACCTTCCAAATAAGGTAAGTAATTTAGGTAGGTTACTGTGAAGGATAATTCAAAAGTTGAATTTAGAGTTTGAAGCCAAAATTTTAAAATAATTATGAGACGAAACTAATTACATGATTTAAATAAATCCAAAAAAGTAACGTACAGAATTTAGCCATGTATGTAGAATTATTCTTAAAGTATTTTAAAGAGAATGCAAATATCCTTGAATTATTCAGTCGTGAGAATTGCAATTTTAATTTTTCTAAGAGAATAATTCTCATGCATTGATAGTTTATCAATTAAATAATGGATAAATGAGAATGAGATGAATAATTCCTTACAAATGAAAGTAATTAATGGAGCTCATCCAATATTTATATGAATAATATTTGAGTTAATGCAAGTGAATTGGTGATTATATGAAGACATCTTTTTATGAAATAATTTAAAGTAATAAAAATAATTTTCAAGCTCTAAGGTGTCATCCCCAAGCCTGGGCTGGAAGCATGTAAAACTCTCACGTATTTCACCTTTTGAAGTCTATATGTTGGCATTCATCATTCGAACCACGACATCTACTATGTGTAACTTGGACATCTACAGATGCAACATACATGGATATTGACATTAAAAGATATTAAATAAAAACTGATGATATTTTTTATTTTTTTTTGAGCATTTCCTTAATTAGTTTATATAAGATTTAAACATTCACACAAAACCCAGCCCAAGTGCTGATTTGATTCAAAGTGTTGGTTAACTGAGCCAACTTTGGTGATTTACCTTAAATATTCGTAATATTAAACATCAGTATCATCTATATACATTTGTTGTCATCAAACAAGAAATATTATTTCATTTGACTCGTGAGGTTAACACTTATAATAAGCATGTCTTTGCTCGTGTCCTCAACCTTATAATTCTCTTGTAATATATCTAACTAGGATTCCTTAAACTCCTTAGAAAAGAATCCCCATGAACTTCACTTAAATAAAAATAAAAAAAACATATTTAATCATCCAAACAACTCCTTTAAATATGATGACAATGTATCTTTCCCATATGGTTAGTGTTTATATTAAAATTAAGGTAGCTTCAAAGTAAGGACATCGCGACACCTTGGCCCTAGAATCACTACCTATCAGTTGTGCATTTGCTATATTGTAACACCTAACTGTTAAGGGTTGACACTTATGCAATGAGATCTCAGTTTAACTAGTCTGGTTCAGGTGCTTTGACATCAATCATAATTTGGTGTGTGGGTATATGGGCATCATGATTGTTTATATATTCATTTATTTCATTACAATATAGATCTACAAATTTATTTACGCATAATATGATTATTTTCTAAATATTATTGTTTTGATTGTTATAGTTATTTCCCCCCATGTATTTACTTATATATATCTAACATTTAAACTTAATTTTCTTATATTTACATCACCTAAATCTTTCATATCAGTTATCACATAAAAAAAATATCATCATTTTATTTTGAAAATTTAAAATACATCTTTTCATGCATAAATAAGATGAACTATATGTAAAAATGGAAGTTTAGATATTAGATATGAAAATACATAGAAATTAAACGGTATTTATGTAAATTTTCCTAGATAAAAGTTGGGGACATTTACTTTGTATTTATATATCCAACATCTAAATCTTATTTTTTATACTTATATACCCCAAATTTTTCATATAATATAAATTGTCATTATTTAAAATTTTAGAAAGTAAAATCTATATTTCTATGCAATTTTGATAAGGTAGCTTATATGTAAAAATTGAAATATAGATGTTAGAAATGCAAATACAAAAGAATTAATAGACATGTATGCAAATCTTCAAAAGGGTTAACTATCACATATATAATATAAAGCTCATGTCGAAGCTAGGAATTGTCCAAAACCCTAGCGGCGGCTGTCTGCGAGGAGACGGTACAGAGAAACAGCAGCTTTGGGTTGCAAGAGAAAGCTAGCAGCCATGGCGAGGACATACCTTTCCTTACTTGCGATCATCGAAGCTTTCTTATTTAATCTTTGCCTGCCAGTTTTTTGTCTTTCAAATTCGCTAGTTCTTATTTTTTCTATTTAATTTCAGTCTCTTATCGCGAACGAGGATTTTCAGCATATTCTTCGCGTTCTTAACACGAACGTGGATGGGAAGAAAAAGATCATGTTTGCGCTCACCTCCATCAAGGGTATTGGCCGCCGATTTGCCAACATTGTTTGCAAGAAGGCCGATGTAGACATGAACAAGAGGTTCTCTTTTTTTTGATTTACACTTTTATTTTCTCAGTAGTCTTTGATTCATCAATTATGGGAGTTATTCTGTTGTGTTTCCATGCTTATGGAAGTCATGTTCATTTCATGTATTCTTCACATATCTCTTCATTTGCCATCTATTTTGCAGATGCAACCTTAGCTAGATGATTGATAGTTCATGAAGTCTTTCTCTGTTTCTTTGTGCTTTTCTTCTAAATATTTTAATTTGGCTTTGATTGGTCTTTTTTACTTAATATTAATTTTCTAATGTGATTTTAATTATGTGCATTTGTAGAGCTGGAGAACTTACAGCAGCAGAACTCGAGAATCTGATGACGATTGTAGCAAATCCCCGTCAGTTTAAAATCCCGGACTGGTTTTTAAACAGGAAGAAGGACTACAAAGATGGGAGATACTCTCAAGTTGTGTCTAATGCTTTGGACATGAAGCTCAGAGATGATCTGGAGCGTTTGAAGAAAATCAGGTCTGTTTCAGCCTGATTTTTATCTACTCGATTTCTATTATATGCAGGCTAATTTACGTGAATTGTTTCTTGAGCAGAATTTAATCTTATCTGTCATCATCTAACCAAATTTATTGTGAAAGTTTGGATTTTTAAGCTTTTGTGTTGCTTTAGGAAGTGTGTGTATGAGAATAACAGAAGTTTGCTTTTAAGTTTTAATGCATACCATATGTTAGATACGGCTCAAATGCGTTTATTTCTATCAAAAGTGTTGAAGGAATTACTAAACTGCTCTATATCCTTTGTACTCCCGCCTTTCATAAGCAAGTAGTGGCGAAACACTAGGAGATAAACATCTTCATCCACGTTTGAAAATCATATATGAAGAATAAACTCGGGCTCTCTTGTTTTTGATTCTGGTGTGTCAGAATCTATTGGAAGTTCTGTTATGTTCCCAATGGCGGAACGTTCTTTTGCAGGAACCAGTGTTTCTTTTAGAAATGAGGCCTTATAATGTAAGATATTTCAAATTACATGGTTTATTTTGAGTCGTTGGATTTCATTAAGGCTTTGAGAACTTATGATTTTTCATGTCTGTCTGCTAGTGATTCCAATTTAACTGGTATTAATGATGGAACAATGTTATTATGTTATCTTTCAATATTGAAATTTCCAATAATTATATTCTGTAATTCCACATTAGTTCATACTGACATACTGTAGCACTATGGTAAGTTTGGTGTGTACCTCTATTGCAAAATAGAGTAAATTGTTGCATGCCAAATTCTAATGTGGCAAGTCCAAGATTTTCTTTCTATCACTTAAAGAAATGGATTGTAAGGCCAGTCTTTTGCAGGAACCTGTGTTTCTTTTAGGAATGTGGCCTTATAATGTAAAATATTTCAAATTACATGATTTATTTTGAGTTGCTGGTTTTCATTCAGGCTTTGAGAACTTATGATTTTTCATGTCTGTCTGCTGGTAATTCCAATTTAACTGATATTAATGATGGAACAATGTTATTATGTTATCTTTCAATCGTGAAATTTCCAATAATAATTTTCTTTTATACCACATTAGCTCATACTGACATACTGTAGCTTTATGGTAAGTTTTGGTGTGTGACTCTATTGCAAAATAGAGTAAATTGTTGCATGCTAATTTCTAATGTGGAAATTCCAAGGATTTATTCTTTCTATCACTCGAAGAAATGGATTGTAAGGCCACTCTTTTTTTTTAAACAAGTTTGCAATGAAAATTGTATGAATTCAGATTTTATCAATAAAATTTGTTGGGTTATTTCTCTTCCTGCTCATTGGATAAAGAGGCTGAACTTATTTGGTTTGCTGATCACTTAAATCTACTCTTTTGCTTGTAAAAATGTTTTTATGCTTATTATACGTTCCCTTTTCCATTTTACATTTGAATCTGTTTTAAAATGTTAACTCCATATTTTTCTAATTTTTCTTCAAGCAATTGCAATACTCTGGTTTTTTTTGGCAATGTAATGTTGGTTATTAGAAGAGAGGTGTGGTCAAGCAGAGATTAATCTCATTGTAAACAAATTTTTTTTTTGTACGCATCATCATTTTTTCCAATCAAATGCAGGAATCATCGGGGTTTACGTCACTACTGGGGTCTTCGTGTTCGTGGGCAGCACACCAAAACAACTGGCAGGAGGGGGAAGACTGTTGGTGTTTCCAAGAAGCGATAAGCTTTATTCCATCTGCTTTCTAGTAGAAGTCATGTTGGTGTTTTGAAACTATAAGTCCCATTTTATTTTGTTTTTCAGCTTGATTATTTGAAAGATTTTTATTTTTTGGGATAAAATGTGTGTTTTAACCAAGATCACTTTAATTAAGTTTTCGGTGATATTTCTGTTGGTCTTGAATTGGAATTAATTGCTTCACAGACTAAGTCTTGAAAGAAATTTGAATGAGAATGCTTATAGAGTGACTTAAGATAATCCACTTTAATTAAGTTTTCAGTGATATTTCTGTTGGTCTTAATTGGAATTAATTGCTTCACAGAGTAAGTCTTGAAAGAAAATTGAATGAGAATGCTTATAGAGTGACTTAAGATAATGTTTCCTGACCAAAGCTTTCTCATTACATTCAAATATGGGGTATTTATAGAGGCTTTTTGAGTTGACATAATGATGTTGCTTAATAATAAATGGTTTGGATGATTTGAATCATCGTGTTCTCACTACTGTTTGGGGGCAGCACACCAAAACAACTGGCAGCAGGAGAAAGACTGTTGGTGTTTCCAAGAAGCGATGAGCTTTATTCCATCTGCTTTCTAGTAGAAGTCATGTTTGTGTTTTGAACTAAAAAAACCAGCCCAAGCATGTCTTCAATGCTTCAACATTCAATCACAATTTTGTTTTGTTTTTCAGCTTGATTATTTGAAAGTTTTTTTTTTTTTTGGGGTAAAACGTGTGTTTTAACCAAGACCCACTTTAACTAAGTCTTCGGTGATATTTCTGTTGGCCTTGAATTGGAATTAATTTCTCCACGGAATCATTCTTGAAAGAGATTTGTATTTAAACGCTTACAGAGTGATTTGACATAATGTTTCCTGTACAAAGTTTTCTCATTCCAAGCAGATATGGAATATTTATAAAGGCTTTTAGAGTTCAGATTAAGTTGTTGCTTCATAATAAATGGCACGCATGATTCTTTCCATAAATGGTTTGGATGCTAAACCTATTATTAACAACTTGGTAGAAGATAAGGATTGCATGGGGGTGTCAATCACTCAACATTGAGTCTTATGCCTCGTATCTTAAAGGCCTAGTGGGTTCAGGCTTAAGCTGGTAAGATGGACTCACATATGTTTGGTTTTTCACATTTCGTGTAAATGATTTGCTTTTAAGATCAACAGATGAAGTTGATTGTGTGGTTCTTAATGCATCCTGTAAATCGGTTGAATATGCATTTCATATAACTTTTTTTAGGCGGTGTATGCCTACAATTTGGAATTACGTTGAACAGGTTTTATCAAATCCGAGATTTATCTAACCTCGTGAGCGATTATAGAGACGACAAGCGACGTCCCATAAATCTGTCTTGTAGGTGGATTTAATAAGTTCGGATTTACGTTGTAGGATAGACAAAATGCGAAGAAATCGATGAAACACGATAAATTTTGAATTAACGGAGCATTGGATTTAGTTTTTTGTTTTTTTATTTTTTTATTTTTTTAATATGTTTGGGGGGATTTAAGTTAAATCCATGGCTAAATCTCATAAATGGTATGTACCAAACATCCCCTTGGTATTTCAACCTTATTTGAGTTTCAAAATGATGTTTTTTTAAGGAATCAAAGTATCTCTCTTGCTAGTGTTAGTTTATGTTGCATTTAATCAACATGCTATCATGAACTTTGACGTGCTGTAGAGTGTGAATGAGATCATCAAAATAGCAATGAAAAGACAAGCGATCCATATTTTGTTCTCTTGGTTCAGGAGGTTGAGGCCTCACTCGGTCATAATTATTATTATCTTTAGATTAGCTCTGGAGTTTTTCTTTCTCTTGGGTGAAGTTATTTGCAACTTAGACTATGTCTAAAAGAAGCCCTTGTAGTGTAAACTAGGTCTAGAGTTGAACTCACCATCTGCTTCAACACGACACGTCTGATTTAGCAAAAATGTTGGCTTCGGATTCAATTACTCCAATATCTACGTGTAGTTCATTGGAATAGATAACTTTAGGGCCAATGTTAAAATAGTTATATGTTAACAGATGAGAACAAGGAGAAAGATGGGCATAGAACTCATCCTCGCGGAAAATATTAGTCTTCTTCTTCCATTTAATTAGTAGAATGCGTACACTAATCATTTTGCTCTGGTTGTTTTTCTCATATATAATGTTTTTGAGACCAATAGGTTTATTGTGGCTAGTAAGTGGTCAATATACTGATACACGAGGCAGTCCGGAGCTAAAGAATTTGGATTTGTAGCTAATTCACGACGCTCTTGAATGCTCTTGAACGCGTCTTATTGCAACCGGCTCCCTGATATTAAGCAAAATGATTGAAGACATGGAGGTGTGCTGGATCACTTGTCATTGCAAATGAGCCCTGCTGGCGTGGAGTGACCCCATGTGACAATAGTTTATCTCTAGCAATGGTATAGAGAAGAAGAATTGCCGTTGCACTTTGTTGCTGCTCAGGCATCCAGGAAAAGTGGCTCATAGTTGGTTACTATTATAATTCAAGGTTGTGGGGCATTAAAAAAGCCTAATGATTGGGTTTGTTGAAGACATTAGGCAGAAGTGGTCACCATGGAGGTTATTTGTTAGTTATCATTATCAAAAAATTTAGTAGGGCAAACTAATTATTTATTTCTGTCTTGGCTGAGAGGAATGGTAACACTAAAATGCAATATGGTTAATATCCTTTTTTACTTCAATTGACCTAACTTGGCTATAGAGACTTGAATAGTTTGTTAAATTGATCAATTTGGCCAATACGTACTTTATGTAATTCATGTTAATAGTTTAAACAGGGAAGTATCCATTGGCTAAGCTAATTAATTCTAATTGACTTAAATAAACTCAGTTGACTAACAACTTTTAAATATGGCAACAAATATGAAATTAATTCTAGCAATTGAACATGAAGGTTTTTTAGGATGTGTAATATGATTTAATTGAATTATTTTTATTTCATCAAGTCTCATCATTTTTGGTCAAAGAAGTCGAATTTTCTCACTAAATAGAGACAACTATTTCCCAAATAGTTTAACCAAATTGCTAAATCAAACTAAATACTTGAAAGAAATCGTAGCCAAGAGCGTTACGAGAATAGTTTTAGTTCATCTCATCATATTTTCAATACTCTATGTTGGTCAACTTAATAAAAATGGTTTGCTTCCTTCTGTTTGAGTCCAAATGGACAACACTCACTTCCTATGCAGTTTAGCTCAACCAATTGGTTGAACTAAACCTTTGAACTTGATTTTAGTTCAAGATGTTAGTCCAGTTGAGTCTAAGGTATTGCCATAGTTGGAAAATGGGTTATCATGATCCATTTTAATTTGTTGGGCCAAAATTAGCTAATCCATACAACAAATTAACCTTTGCCATAGCCTAATGATTTTTAAATGATGGCTAAACCCAAGCTTAATGGTGGTTCATTATTAACTACACTTTACCAATCAAAACTCTCCACTCCTGATATCACTTTAAGGCTCCTAGAAGGTATTTGAGAAGCGGATTTTGCGGAGAGGTGATTGTGGAATAGTGAGGGAAAGCTAATTTGTGTGGCTGACACGTTTGGAAGAGATTGAGGGGATATATGTTGTTGGACAACTAGTTTGATGCCGTGATGACTGTCTTGGTTGAATTCAACAAAGGGAACTTTGAATCGGCAATGTTTGGGTGGCAAGGAGGTTTTATCACATGTTATTGTGCAAGATACAAACACACACTTCCAAAAGGAAGAACAAATAACACTCATGCAAATAATCATATATGACAATATTTATACTACTCAAAATAATACAAAAGTTCTTCAAAATGGAAAATAACAAGATGCATATTATTGCCTCATGGAAAAAGCATAATAAGAAATAAAAAATCAGAAAGAAATGTAAAAAGAAAAAAAAAATGCTGGAATTTATCTGGATTTCATCACGTGAGGGATATTTACCGCGATCGTGGACAACTTTGTGATAGTAGGAATCGTTGCACATGGTTTCAGTGTTCGCGTCATTTTCCCAGGTAGGAGAGGCTTTGTCTTATTCTATGGAGGCTTTTGGAATCGATTTTCCCAGGTAGGAGAGTCTTATATCGTAGTCTCACTACAAAATCTATGCTCACATGCATGTAAAATAACTTTGAATCATTTTCCCAAGTAGGAGAGGCTTTGTCTTATTTTATGGAAGCTTTTGGAATCGATTTTCCCAGGTAGCAGAGTCTTCTATCGTAGTCTCAAAAATCTATGCTCACATGCATGTAAAATAACTTTGAAACAAGTACATCCTTTTAAAATTCTCTTGATAGAATACATGTACATCATTTTTTGGCACAAAAAGAGTTGAAACTGCATATAGATGGGTATTCTCACAAAGCGGGTCTTGAGCCATTAGATCTGTAATCTACTTTTTTTACTCATCACACTCAGTTGGGAATATATGTTAAATAAGTTTGGAGGAACCGACTTTGGATTGAAATATATGACAGACTGGAGCACTTTCAATGGAAATCACCCAGATGGTACTATTAGTTATGATGATCGATAACTCTCCCAATATGGGCTATCCCTTTTTGATTATCAGTTCCTCGGGCTCACTATCTTCCAATATAATTATTGTTAATTCTTTTGTAATATGTTTCTTAAGCTTGGCTTGAATCATTAGCATCGTCTCTCGCCAGTTGGAAGTTAAGACTCCTCTTTAACACTTTATTTTCTCTTGTGTAATTGTACGTTTCTGCAATTGTTTCCTGCTCATTGAAAGAGACCACCTTCTTGTTTGGGCAATCAAACGTGATGTGGCCAAAATCATTACACTCGAAGCATTTATTCCCAGGGAATGAATTTGGGAGAGCTCGCTATCATCACATTTTCTCCACTCTGTCTGGGTTGGGTTGTGTGTTCAATTAGGTGTACTCTGACTAGTTGATATGATGACTGAACTCTATTTGAAGGATGTTGTAGACTAATATTGCCGTGTTCTCTCTTCACCTTCAGTGTTAAGGTCTGGTCATCTTATAATGTCTAATAAGGCTGCAATTGTACAATATTGCCAAAGGAAGATCTTAATCTTCTCAAATATCGAGCTATGGTTTCCTCATCGGGCTTCACTGTCTCGCACTTCAACATAAGCTGCTCGAACTTTGTTGTGCTTTCCTCAATTGAGAGATCTTTCTATTGTAACTAGTGAAGTCCGAAGAACATATATTGTTTGTAATTTACTGCTAGGTACTTGCATTATATCCTAATTTTATCTTAGATAACTGGCTGCTTGTTCTGTTGATTGATCTCTATTTGAGTGGTGGTGTGAACTTAATATCGTTGTGTTGTCTTTTCACATTCAGGGCTAATGTTTGGATATCTTGTAATGTCGAATAAGGCTTCAAAACCATCATAGTGCCAATGAACGATCTCAATCCCCTCAAATATCGAGCTATTGGGTTGTCTTCGGGCTCCACTAGCTCAAACATTAACATGAACTTGTTTTTGTATTCCTCTATTGAGAGATCTTTCTAATGTAACCGGTGAAGTTTTAAGAACATATCACACATGTATTGTACTGGTAGGTACTTGCTATATATCTTTCATTTAATCTTTTGATCATTTAGAGATTTTGGCTAATGTTGGTGTAAGCGTTTCAAGTTTTCTCATCACAGAAATGCATTATTCTTTAACCTAGTGGCGACTAGCTTTATCATTTTGTTTGGTGGAACATCCTTGTACTTTAAGATCCATTCCATTATTTGGAGCCACTAGAACTCATCTTGGTCCATGTGACCGTCAAAATCTTATAAATCCACTTTTACTCTAAATTCCCGACTTCTACTTTGATATTTCATGTCAAATCATCATGATATTTATTCTTTTGTTACTAAATACTTTTCGGTGGAATTGATTCATTTTTCTTCAATCAATCTGACAAGTTACCATTGTAGCTATAAGTGACATCATCAGATTATTTTCTCTTAAGGGCGACAAATCTCTATTGCAGCTAGATGTAAGATTGTAAATCAAGGTTGGTCAGGGGCTTAGATTTTGGTGGTAGATATCGAGGTAAATTTTCAATGGAGCTAGAAAGGTTTACCTGGGTGAATTTTCGGTGACCCCGGAAAAGTTGGGGTTTGAAAGTTATATATTTAGGTTTAGAATTATGGCAGGAATGACTCGGGTATGATGTGGATTTTTGGGTAGGCGGAGGAATGACGGGAGAGAAAAGTTTGGGTTTGAAAGTTATATATTTAGGTTTAGAAATTATGGCAGGAATGACTCGGGTATGATGAGGGTATGTGGATTTTTGGGTAGGCGGAGGAATGACGGGAGGTTGTGCGCCGTGATTATGGGCTATTCCTGTTGTCCCGCTGTCTTGTAGATCGCGTCGCATGGTTTCAGTGCTTGTGTCAACACCACTTGCAAGTATTGTAGCCTCTCTCTCTCTCTCTCTCTTCAATTGCATGGTTCGAAAATAATTTGATATATTGAATTGGTGCAAATCCAACTATTAGCCATTGCTAATGCATGGCCATATTGCTCGATCAGGAGTCATATTAGGACGGTTGAGTTAACTGTTGGGAGGCCTTCTTCTTGAACGCCCTTGAATATGTCCTATAGCCTCAGCCATTTTTGACAATCACCGAGTTGCTTGGGCCAATAATAGACCTGCAATTAAATTCTGGTCTTCATAGGGCCATTACGCTAGAGTGAACTAAGACAATCTTTAGCAGGTGTAGCATCAAATCCAGCAGGCTCATCATCTCTACAGATAACAATCTCACTTGCCTCAATGGCGCTGGTCTGTTGGCGCAACTGGCCAAACCAAGCTCTCAATTCAGCTTCACGGAACCACCCTTGAGCTCCCTAGCGAGCGAATTCCTCAGGTTGAGTTCAGGCCAAGCGTTTGGAACGTAGCTAGTTCTGAAGGAAGATGATGCCTGGTGCCATTGAATTTCATTTTGAGATTTAATGATCTGTGGTTCGGCTAAGAATATTGGCTCAATAATGTGAAGAAAAATAGGATTTCGGTGATTTTGAGGCGTCTTCATTAAATTTTTGGCTTTTTTGGGGGCAGCATTGTGTTGTAGTGTCGCCATACACTTTTGTGTTTGGTAAAATTGTGTTTAGTCTGGTTTTTTCAAAATGTTGCAATAGAAAGTTGCAATTTGCAACTTGACCTGCCTTAGTGTGGTGACTGTTAAAAAGCTGTGGTTTGATTTTTTGAAAATAAAATATGTAATAGTCTTTGTATCTTTTTAAACAATTTTTTTTTTTTTTTTTTTTTTTTTTTTTGTAGCTAGCTGTTTCTTCAAACAGTTGCAGTGGCCTCAAACGGATTATGAACTTACCTTGCGAGTCAAATTGCACGAAAGTTTAAGCTTAAATGCATTGAAGGGTGGCGAATTTAGGAAAAATATTTCTTTGACAAAATTCCTTAATTTTCTAATTAGTATTTTTTTTTTATCAAATGGGTTTTAAAAACTCCCCAAACTTATTGAAATAATTGATTATACCTTGCCGAACCTATGAAAACTATTTTAGGCTATGATGATTATATACTTCATGTTATGATATTTTGAACCCTAAATTTCTTTTTTTTAAAACTTTAACCATTAGATTTTCATTCCAATATGTTCATGAAATTCAGATGTTCCATGCACGTGTTTCTGTTGCCTTTGCTACATAAATAATTTATTTTTTTTAAAAAATATATATTTTTTATTTTATAGAACATAGCATTTGGTTTATCTATTTATTTTATAATTCAACTTATTAATTAAAATATTTAAAATAATTTTTAGGTATTTTGAATATTTTTAAAATAAATAGTATTATTGGTAGCCGTTAACTATTGCTTGCTGAATGCTAACTATCGCTAGTGTTGGCAGTTGAATGATGCCAAGACAATATAAAAATTAAATATTATTTGCTTTAATATATTAAATATGTTTTATTCAAATAAAAAAAAAGTGATCTGAGTTAGCTGCTTGTGATGAGCCGTAAACAGAGGAGTTCAAATGGTTTCTTTTATTTTTCTAGACTTCCTTCAAGCAGTGCTTGATTGTCAGTGTTGAATCCGAAACGACCTGAGAAGCACACCTAAGGAATAGAGTGTAGAATATGAGTGTGTGTGAGAGAGAGAGAGAGTGCACAATAATGAACAATAGATTGAGAGAATTGTGTAGCTGTTTATTCATGAAATGATTCCCTATTTATAAGCAAAGATGGTGCAATAGATAGAGTTACATTTACGCCCCTATTTGGTGGGGACTATACATATTATTCTAGGAATTTTGCTCAAGGCTTAGTTGCTCCGAGATCGATTGGCTGGGCTTGGTAGGCCTTCGAGTTTTGTAGGTTGACTGGATTTGGTGTTCTCTATCGCTCAGCTGTGTTATCAAAGTCCCGGCAGGTGTACAGTTGGGGAGCAAGTGGTTCAGTTTATGTAATTGGAAGGCTAGGTCTGTAGAAGCTATCGGTCGGCTCGTCTTCCTACCGACTAGGAGTCGATAGAGCTGATTGGCTAGGTCTTGACGATCGGTATGTGTAATGGTCATCGACCATTGACTCTCATCGAAGAGCTTCTGTCGGCAGAGTGAAGTAAGGATATCGGGCAAAAGGTGAATTGTCGTAATACGACAAGTAGCCTGCCCTTACACAGAGGTTGTTGGTCGTCTCGGGGTTCTCATAAGATCTGATGGATGTCCCTTCATCGGGCTTGATTGATCAGAGTGTTAGATTTGAATGATCATTTATCTTGTGACTGGGCGAGTCACTTGGCTCGTGCCACTGCTCATCCTCGTAATCCATTGGCCTTGTGTTTGATTCATCTGGTCGAGCATTTGAGTTCCCCAGATCTTCTATTAGTGGATCTACCCTTTAATATCATTATTCTCCTAAACCATTGGATCTCCTTATGATTCCTGCTCCTCAATTTTTGTGTACAATCATAAACATGAATTTGCTACAATTTTATTCAGCTCAATTCATTAATTATCGAGTTGAACACAACTCACTCAAAGATTTTGAATTTTTGTTATAGGATTGACTTTCTTTTTCTATTTCCAGTCTTTCTTCAAACATTGGTGGCTCGTACATAGAATATTCGATAGCTAATACTATAAAAAAATTCACCAAAAAAATCTTCCAATAAATAACAATAAAAAATGACAATATGGATTGGAATGAAATTTCTTGCTTAGAGTTAGAAAAAAGGATCTAAAAATGGTGTTGACCTCTGTAAGATTCCTCTGCAAGATTCCCCATTTGATTGAGGTTAATTGGAAAAGAAAAAAAAAATTGATTTAAAATTCAATAAATGCTCTCAAAATCATATCAAATATAATGATTTTATTTAGCATGACTGCAATAAATATCTATAAAGATACATTTTCAATCAAATATTCTTTCCCCTCTTGAGAACATTAAGAAAATTACAGAACTAAAAATGCAAAGATAACCTGGAATAAAGAATACTGGCTTCCAGCTCTCTGGACTAGATAGATGCCTATCATTAATGTTAGCAATCTCCAGAATCCTCCCAGTGATTCCAACGCCAATGATACCTGCTAATGTCCCAGCTGTATTTGAAACTCCCATCACAATCCCAGCATAACCTGGAGCTATATCCAAATGGTTCACAGCAAATCCAGCTCTCCCCAATGCCAAGAAACCCAAAGAAACTGAAGAACAAAGCACAGTCCCAGCAGAGGTTTTAAATAGAGGTAGGCAAAATAAAGCGAATGCGGAAACAACGAATCCGACGGTATTGAGAAGCTTGCGGGTTTTTGTCACGGATAAGATCCTCCTTGTGATGAGGTGATCAGCTACTACTCCACCCACATTAGAAAAAATGAACATGTTCAGATAAGGTAGCATCTTTGATGATCCCATCTCCTGAAGACTGAGTTGAAGTCCAAGCTCAAAGTAAGTTGGAAGCCAGTTCATCAAAACATATAATGCATAGTGAAAAGTGAAGTTGTTCACCACAATCGCCCAAACTGGCAAGCTGCACATCATCCTTGTCCATGGGATTTTTGATAGATGCTGCAAATTCCCCTTCTCTTTAATTGGTAATGCTGTTGCCTTGGGGTGGTAGGAATTAGATGGGTCACTTGCAAACTTTAACCAAAGGATGCACCAAGTGAAGCCCAATGCCGCTTCAACATAAAATATGGACTGAGGACCTTGAAGTTTAATCAAACCTGGAAGCAAAAGCATGGCTGCGGCTGCACCAAGATACATGCCAGAAGTGGTAAGAGAAACGGATCGGGAACGCTCATGGGGTGGGATCCATTGTGCCAGAATTGTGTGGATAGAAGGAAAAATGAAGCCTTGAGCCGCCCCGACAAGAAGACGGGAGATCACCAATACGACGACTTTGTTTGGGTTCAATGGAACTAAGGCACATATGGAGGACCAAGTGAGAAATGACAAAAGCAAGATGCGCCTGCCTCCGAAACGTTGTGCAGCCCATCCACCAGGGATTTGTGAAAGAACATACCCATAGTAGAATGTTGAGAGTATCAGACCTTTGCTAGATTGATTTATACCAATGGAATTGGCAGCAGCGGTGTACGCAACTGAAAAGCCCATTCGCTCGATGTAGAAAACATTTGTGCATAAAAATGTCAAGACGACAATCACATATCGCTTTGGAAATTTCATTCCTTCCATGATTTAGAGTTACTTTTGAGCTTCTTCATATCATCTTTTCAACTGGAAAAATATAAAATTTGTAAGAAAAACACACAGCACACTTTCTTGAATCAGGATGGCGTTACAGGGAGGATAATTGGTCTTACACTGCTTGTGAGGATCTTTACTATTTTGGATACAAAAGTAATTGTTAGAAATAAAAAAATCAATAGCAATCATATACTAATACAATTTTAAACAAGGTAAATAAAATGCCAACAAATTTTTGTGGAAATTAGAAGGGTATGATTTTTCATTACATGTTCAACATGCTAAGAGAAGAATGTCATCCACATCATCATTATCATTAGCCTCATCTAAAATAATTTGGGCTACTTCTATACAATGTTACCATAGGTTAACTCATTCTCCCTCTAATCCTACGTTTAATTATTTGTCTAATGGGTGTATTTTCAACCATTATCATTCAAATCTAAACCACCTAATTTTATGTTCAATTATCATTTTTTTATAGAAATCATTCAGACCATTACTCTAATACAATCATTTCTTAATTGTATCTTCCTAATTGTCACACATTCAAAGAAACATTCTCATTGTTATTGTGCGCAACTTAGATAACAAAACTTTAAAAGATAAGTATACTTTTCTCAAGCAACAATGTCCAACCCAATCATATCAACAAGAGAGAGAGAGTAAAATAAACTTATAATCAAAGAAATGTGATTGCTGTAGAAAAACAATCAAGAAAAAATCATAGTTTAACAATACTAAAATAAAATAAAATAAAATAAATAACTTAAAAAAATACCATCTAAAATGTTAACCGATATGTACCTGTACAAGAATTTTATAGGAAATGGTTCTCCCTTACTTGTATAACAGCTAAGAGGTCTAAAGTACTTAAAGAAGTTATAATAGGGTTGGCAAATAAAACTTTTTAATTGTAAAATGCATAAAAATACAGTGCAAAATAAAATTTCCTGATTTCCAACATTTAACATGATTCGGAGGTGAAATCAAAATCCAAAAACATTATAAACACAAGTAATTTGAATTGTGGTATTTTCAATATGCCAAAGGTGCAAAGCATGTCCAACTATTTGGGATAAGCTGTATGAATTCACATTCTCCATTCCATACTGCTAGTGCTATAATTTTTTTAAAAAGGTTAGAGGATTTTAACTAGTACCCTGTGTTGGAAAATGCCTGAACTATGGCAAACAGAGACGGAAAATCTAGAAATGGCTAGGCTTCCAGGAAGTAATAGCAATGCTCTCATTATGGATCATGCTGAAAATCCTCATTGGAAAATAGTCCACATCTCTCGTATATAATAAAAAGTTCAAATTGATGGAAATTATAAAGGGAAATCAGACAAGAATCAAACAAACTGAAATCCTACATAAATATTCAATTGTTTAATACGCAAATAATAATGTTTAAGTTGGTATTTAATAGACTGGAATAGTTCAGATGCTAATAAAACAATGAGATCCTGTTCCTAATTAAAGAAGAACATGTTACGGCCCCTTTGGCTGTAAATAGGATTAAATTAAGCTTGAATAATTTGCAAATTTTGTTTTAATAGAACTTTCATGTCTCTTTTGAATCTTGGCATAAATTTTATGCTTAATGCATTTCTGAGAATGTTGAAACCGGAATTGTTCATGAATTACATCAAAATCCTACTAATACTAAGTGATGATATGAGAGAATGAGTAAGAGAGGGAAATAAAGAAGAGTTTAGAGTACAAAGATCTGAGATTTTAACTAAAATATATCATTTAAAAGAAATTGCATTACCAGGGCTCCTTCCACAACCCATTATTTATAATTTTAAGTTGAGATTTGAGCACTACAGAAAAAACTACATATTTAAGTAACATGAATAACAAAAGTACATAGAGGCCCCATGTGTGCAACCTGACTAAACAATTGGACTTGTAGCCAAATTTATGGAAGCTCACTGCTCTAACTCGTCATATTTACTGAGTAGTTCTCGAGCTTCGGGGGCTACAATGTGCAAATTTAACCTGACAAACTCATCTTGCATTGGGCAGGTTTACTATGAGCTTGGCGAGTTTAGCTAGTAGGATAGGTTGAGTTCATAGCTACTCAAGCTAGCTTTAGGGTACCCATATTGAGTTGGGCGAATTCATGCTATTGAACCTCAAAAGATTTCCTTCTCGCAGTAATCTTCATCCGCCAACCCTGTGATCATCGCCTAAATTGCACAAATCTCAATTTCTATAATCACCATTAATGTCATAGATCTTTGCTCACCCAATGAAAGAAATCAAACCTCTGATCACATCTGTTTGAAGAAACTGTAGAGACAAACGACACTGTTAATGTCAAGTACTACTTCAAGAACTATCCATTTGAAGCACATCAAATGGTTGAAAATTTAGGAATTATCATTTGATATGACAATAGTTAATGAAAATCTTTATAATGAAATGTATGAGCAAGCCTCAATCATTGCCTCATTTGAGGCATGAATCCTTCTCTTCTAGTGACCTTGTCCTTAAGATTGAGCTTGTAAGTTAATCCAATAGAGGTTACGACCATCCATTCAACCACAATCTCTCAACAGGTTCCTTCCTGTGCACTGGATCAAAAGTGAAGTAACAAAAAATAAGCTTGATTAATGGCCGCTTAAAGAGCTTAATCCATGCTTTCGATAGACTTAAGGGTGGAGACAAGCCCAGATACTATCAGGTACAACATCAGTCAATGTTATAGCTATGATAGTTCCCATATCTTTCATTATTTTTTCATATAAGACTTGCATAAAACATCCACAGCATAAGAGAGAGATTTTTAAATTGATGCTAAGCTTTACTAACATGTGATAATATCCTCGAACATGTCATTATTATCATTTACTTAAATAATATTGAAATTAGTACATCCAAAATTTACATCAAAATGAAAAGACGAAGATGGGGGTGATGCTGCCACATTTTGTGTTGGGTATGCAGTTTGTGGGTCTTTTAAAGATTCGCCAATCTGAAAATAATATTTTCAAGACCTTATAAGTATGTGCTACTTTATCATCAAAAGTTTCAACTTGTGGAACAATACTCGATTGGAAAAAAATTAAAATCTATAAAAGAATTGTTATGATCTATGTCTCTAATGTCAACATTAGTTTTGAAATCTACAAAATCAACGAAATCTTAGAATTGCAGAGGGAATTGGTTCTTTATGGAATCATTTGAGATTAATGAGGATAGATGTGACAACCTGTTCTTTTCTAGAGGTGCCATTAAATGATCCAACTAATAATCTGACCCAAATCTAACTTAAAACATTCGAGTTTAAGCAGATCTACTAGTATTTAGGTCAGATTTGGTGTAAATTATAATTCAATTATTATTTAGATTAGATTTAGTTTGATCCAAAGAATTCAAAAAATGACCTAATTATTACTCAGGTTCATTTTAGAATAGTTAAGGTTAGGCTAACGTGATTTTACAAGTTATATTTGGTTACTTGGATGACTTTGATCTAAAAAAAATGCATAATCTATATAATAAATAAGTTAAACAAGTCATGTTTGGGTTAAGAAGGTTAGGGTCAAGTTGAGTTTGAAATAAATATTTTGTCCTCACTTAATAAACATAACAAATTCAGATTAAAGATATTCTAGTCGAGTCAACATCGAATTAGACTCAAACCTTGTCCATTAAAGCAAATTAATACCCTTAGATCTTGAAGTTCTTTAGCAACAAGAATATAATGGCATGAACATTGACTTGTTCTTGTTTCTAAACAAAACCAAATTTGCCTAGTTGCAGATTGATTTATCCAAACGAAACAATGTAGGTCGTTTCCAACATAGTAGATATAGTTTGTTTGCGTGTTTCCGACAAAGATCTAGGCCGGTGCTATGAGATTTTTGAACACAAAGGTGGATGAGGCCGACATAATTGGCATTCAAGATAGGCTAATAGTGACGGCTGCTTTATAGAAATCTGGCTAAGGTGATGGCATTGCATCTTAACTTGGGAACCATAGAAGACCACAATCAGTAAGAGCAACTAGTGTTTCTTCGGGTCACCGAGTTAAGGAGGGCAAGATAGAGTTAGTTGTGGGACATCTAGAATTTTGAGCACCATGAGTTCTTTTTTTATGAAGAAGAGCATCATTTTGTAGATCCAAATCTCATCTTTAACATTTTAGGTTGTTCATTTTCTATGTCATCATCCACTCTAAGGGGTTGCTTGGTTTCAATCAGGAATTAACCTGAATAGTATTTAGTAAATCCTGTAAATCAGGATTTATCAAAT